GTGTTTGGAGATTCCCGTTCCTGCTGCCGAGATCCCTGTTACCAGCTTACTAACTCTTGCTTAAAGACTACCAATAAATATTTCAGAATACTATGCATCTGTCCTTCTCCCTTGGGCAAAGCAAAGTGTTTGTTCTGTAACCTCCTGATCTGTTTTTTCAAACCAGGATGGTAAATGAGAATGGGGAGAAAAGGCTGTTTCTCCTAAAATGCTGAAAGAGTTTATATATGGCATATTTGAATTCACAGCTTTAATTTGTCTTTCTGTGACCATGCACACCAATATATGTTATCACATAAACCTTTGAAACAGAAGCTGTAAAAAAATGAGACTAAGGAAGACACAGACTTTAAGCATCGTTGTAAAAGTTTAATAAAAAAATCAGTAGAAGTTTCTTGATATGTGTTATGAAAAATGACTTGCAGATTAATTTCCTTGAGCTGAGAAGCTTTAAATGAGTATATTAACAATTCTGTTTTCACACCTCCATGAATTATGCTCAGATGATGCCCAATTGTTGTTAAACAACTTAAAAATTTGGTATCTTGTCAGTCCCATAGCACAAAGCAGCGCAGTCATTTTCTCAGCCAATTTCTGCTGCAAACCCAGCACTGGGGAATGGATTTTTACAAACAAGGTAATGAGTTTTAAACTAATTATGAGGTGACAACAGTATAATTGAACATAAGATAATGAGTGGAAAAATAACATTCATCAAATGGTTTTCTCAGCCTTAGAAATTACTTTTCTCAGACTCAGAAATTATCCAATGTATTGACATAGAGACCTCTGCCAACTGTTGAATGGTCAAGAAAACTATTTCTATGCATAGCAATGATTAACAGCTGGCAAACAGTAATTTTGTACAATTTCAAATCTCCTATAAATTTACAAGAATACAGAACTGTGATTATTTTAGGTGTTTAGAGCATTTCCACTAGGTCTCACAATGTCTATATTTTTATAAGATGGAGACTTTGGAAAATCATTTCCTCATTGTTCATGCAGAATTTCCTTAACCTCTGTAGAACCTTACCCTGAGAGGTGCTTTGTGAGCCAGAGTGTTCCTTACGGTTCTGCTTTGTCAAGGAGCCCATGACTTACCCCTGCTCACCTTTCCTCTGCTCATCCTGTATCTCCAGCTTCCCCGTGGGCCAGTGCAGCTTTGAGGCCCCACTGCCCTGCTGCCTCATCAGGGTCAGTCCTCAAATCTGTTGTATAGTTGCCATATAACTGAAAGAGAGAAGAAAGCCCAGTTTTAGGTGTTTGGTTTTTTTTTCAGCTGCACTTGAAGTCATTCAGAACACCAGCACAAGAGTTAAGATCAGATATGTTTTTGGTGGTTTTTAATGCAATTCAAGCATTAGCATTGTAGCTAGCAGACACACAAAGGAATGAAAGAATATTGCAGGTTTTCATGTACTGACTGTACTGCCAGAATGCTTCCACCCCTCTTGTGTTCTGTGTTTTCAAGTCTTCTATTAAAACTCTTGCTCTAATGCAGCTTTGATAGAAGACACCTAAAGTTTCCGACTAGTTGTTGTGAGCAGAGTGGGAGCTTCAGACAAAGTTTGTTAGAGAAGCTCTCCCGAGGTGCAGAAAGGACTTTGCTTTCTAAACTCCTCCTCAGACAGGAGCCTAGGTGTGGCTGGATCCAATCTTAGCCCCAGACTTAGTCAATGGTTAATGTCTAAAGGATTATACAGGTGTAATTGAACCTTTGTACAACTTGGTTCTGCAGGATTAAGGATGGCAAACCACAGATTAAGAAACACATATAAGTATGTATGATTTATTATGAGAATGATTAGACAAAATTATTTTCATCAGAATTATTTACTCCACAATAAAAGGGCTATAACACCTAATATAATACAACGCAATATAAAACAATATTGAAGCAATTATATTAAAGCAATTGTATTAAAACTAGCAAAACCAATTATGAAGTAGAGATTGATGTTACTCACCCATACTAATGACTGTGGGCAAATCTCTTTTGCTCAGCCTTGAGGAGTAACCTTGAGGGGCATCCCCACTCCAGGGAGGAATCTTCACACATGCACTCCAAGCAGAGATATGTTAGAAGACCCTGCCATTAAAATTTGTGACCAGGCTTTTATAGTATAAAGAGATTGATTGTCAATTAAATGTCTCCAGGCCAGCAGTGTCAGCTCAGCAGCTTTAGAGAAGTTAGTAGTAGTGTCATTTGTTTGTTTACCATATCTTCATCTCACTATCAGGATGTTTAACTTTGGGTTTGATGAGTCAGACTGGTTTCAGTATTATCCAACACCAAAAGCAGCATGATGCCCCTTCTTCAGCAATATGTAGTTTTACCCTTACTTTCTAAAACATTGTGGGTTGTCTGTGACTAGTTCGTGGATGTGCCAGCGTCTTTAGGCTCAGCAAGATAGAGTTATCTTTTGTCTAGATGGTAATAGAGCTGTTGTACAAGCAGCCTGATAGAAGGAATTGATGTGCTTGATTCATGATTACCCAGGCAGATTTCTGGGGAGCCTGTAAGCAGGTAGATGTTCTGACTTAAAATGTGATATGAAGGTACCCAGGCAGATTTCTGGGGAACCTGTAAGCAGGTAGATGTTCTGACTTTGATAGAGACCACAGCACAAACCCACACAGCACACCTGAACATGATGGATGCACCTATGATGAAAGCCTTAAGCAAGGGTCTAGTGGGAGGTGAACATCTGAGCAGGGGTGAACATGCATGGATCCTGCAGCATGTTGTCCCTGCTGCTGTGGTGGTGGCAGGAGCTGGGGCACAGGCAGAGGGGGCTGCTGGCTGCAGGCAGAAGCACCTGGCAAGGGGGAGTGGCAGCAGAGGCTGTGAGGGCTGTGGCTGCCAAGTCGTGTGCATGAGGGAAGGCATGATGTTGTTTATAAATAAATACAGGATTTCTGGTTTTTCTTAAATCTTACATCAATTCCCAGGCGCAGATTCATAGTGTCTTGCTAAACTGCATTGTGTTATACTAAGCAAAATTATCTCTAAGAAATCATGACTTTGTATTACATAATTGTAATTGTTTTCTCTAGGTGTTGAAGATACAATTTTATCAGATACAGGTTTTTCCAGCTTTATCAGGAAGTGTGGCTGTAGTTTTAGGAAAGGGCATGCTTTCGTAAAAGTCATAAGGAATTCAAAGAGATGCCCAACATACTTCCTTTCTCAGACTCTGACACTCCATAAATAACATCTCATTGAGCTACACATCTAAAAAGGCCACCAGAGGAGATCAGACTCAGTTGCTGTGGCTATGAATATGTATCACAGAGAATTTATCATCCAGAGTGCTTCTCTAGTTTCTGTTTTACACAGTTACGATGCTGTTAAGCTTTGACATTTTACTCCGGTTTTTGGTAACGTCAGAGAAAGAACTAGCAGTTGTTAACAAGAGAATGTAATGGTGTAAATGAAGTATTGCTCTTTGCCATGAAGGTGTGCTTGAGAAAGAACCCATTGATTTGGTTGTTATTTATGTACAAGTATTTTTACAGCTGCCTTCGACATGTGCCTATGTTCCCATGCCTATTAATAAAAGAAAGCATAGAAAACATTGTTTCTGTCTTACAATGGAGTGATTGGACAGACTTGCAGAGGAATGAGTGATACAGGCGGGAGCAGAGCTCAAGCACAACTCCCAGTCCTTGGTCTGAAGCAGTCTCCTCCATGACATCAGGTTCATAACCAACAAAATGATGCAGAATCTTCAAGGGAATTAGTTGTTCTATAACAAAGACATTTTGTAATCAGTAATATTTAAGTGTTTTGTTTTATAGACAAAGGAGTTGGAATGGACCTTATAGATCATCTAGTCCCAGTCCCCCGTGCCATAGGCAGGGACACCTCCCCACTGGACCAGGTTGCTCAAGGCCTCATCCAACCTGGCTGTGAACACTGCCAGGGTTGGGGCAGCCACTACCTCCCTAGGCAACCTGTGCCAGTGTCTCACCACCCTCACAGTAAAAACCTTTTTCCTGATATCTAATCTAAACTTCCTCTCCTTCAGTTTGAACCCATTACCCCTTGTCCTATCACTGCTGTTCCTAGCAAAATGTCCTTCTCTGGCTCCCCTCTAGCCCCTTCAGATACTGGAAGGCTGCTATGAGATCTCCATGCAACCTTCTCTTCTCCAGGCCGAGCAGCCCCAAGTTCCTCAGCCTGTCTTCATATGGGAGAAGTTCCAATTCTCTTAGCAGTTTCGTAGCCCTCCTCTGGACTTGCTCCAACAGTTCCATGTCCTTTTATGTTGAAGACACCAGAACTGCATGCAGTATTCCAGGTGGGGTCTCATGAGAGCAGAGCAGAGGGGAAGAATCACCTCCCTTGACCTGCTGGCCACACTCCTCTTGATGCAGCCCAGGATCCAATTGGCTTTCTGGGCTGCAAGTGCACACTGCAGCTCATGGTGAGCTTCTTGTCAACCATCATGCCTAAGTCTTTCCTCTCAGTGCTGCTCTCTATTACTTCCCCATCCAACCTATAGATGTGCCTGCGATTGCCACGACCCAGATGTAGGATCTTGCACTTCACTTTATTGAGCTTCATGAGGTTTTGTTTCTGTAGATATTTTAGTTGCTGAATTGTTTCGCTTTGGCAAGATTTGATGAAAACTTTCTAGAGAATATGTTCACAGCTATGTCTGCATATTAGAGCAGCTGCTTTGAAAATATTTCCCTAAAGCCATTCTGATTTTGGGTCCCTGTTACCAAGCAATGCAGTTCCTCTTGTTTAGTGGCTTAGATAATCCCAGAAGGTATCTGAAGCATGTTTATGTTAAGTTAACATTAAATGCAGATGTGCAAAGAAGACACATTATTTACAAAGAGCTGAGTACACTAGTTGCATTAGCCTGATATATTTTTTTTCTTGCTGTCTTGGGTGTGAAATATAAATGTCCTTAATAACAAAAGCAACATTTGGTGAGATTTGTGTTCAACAAATAAATATGCTGGGGTTTTTTTTCCCTTTTTAGATCCATTTCAGTTCCTCACCAAAAGTGAGCCTGCAAAGGAACAGACAGCTCAACCATCTTCAGCTCGGAAACCCACTGTGATCCGAATCCCAGCTAAACCTGGGAAATGTAAGTTCTTCTCCCACATTGTCTGAGAAATCTGATAGAAAATAATTTCAACTGGGACTTAATATTTACAATTTGCTGTTTACTAGCTGTATTAGCTGCCAAAGGAATCCCATGGTACAGTTTGACCAGACAGAGGAGCCAATCTAAGGGCTGTGGTGGGAGGGAGAAATAGATGGGGGACATGTTCCACTCTCCCTGCCTCCCAGCTACTTCATCTGGCTCCCTCTCTTGCACCAGGTTTGATGTCTCTCAAACCTTATGGATCTGTTGCATATCAGAGGGGAAACTGTGTGTGTGATCTAAAGGTTGGCAGGGAAGAGCTGGAGGAGACCCTTGCAGCAGAAACAAATTTGTTTTGTCAACTAAACCATATAACAGAGCTCTACCTTTGGCCAAATTGACTTCAGTTCTGACCTCAACTCAGATTATTTTAATGCTGCTCCCAAACTTCCTGAGAGCAACGTCCCCACGTGTCAAAGGAATGACATTGGAGCATTAAACTTTGCTTTGAACATAGCTTAGTTGGGATATTTAGCAGTTTTCACAGTTTACATCAAAAAGTTCCCTTGACCCTAATTTCAAATCTGTAGCTATTTAAGCAAGAGTGTTTAGGTTGCAGTTTGAGGGAATAAAAAAGGCTTGTCAGAACTGGGATGCAAAAACCGTATGTATTCGATTTTATGTCAAGGTCTTGGCCATTATTTTTCTGAGAGTGACCTTAGTCCTAATGCCTTCCACCTCTAATCTTTTACAGCTTTACAAATGACACTGACAGTGTCTCAGAGTGGAAATTTATCAGAGAGCCACCAGGTCTTTGTGTTGATCTTTGTGTGCTGGAGTACATACTTGCCTTATGTTTTATCCTCAAAGCTTAGGGAGAAATGTCACAAGATAACTCTTAAATCTCATATTTCAAAACCATGTTTTGCTACACTCAGTCAGCTGAGGTGTAGAGTCAACTCGTACCAATTATATGTCCTAGTGGCTTTTCTCCTAGGACTTTCATTATTTCCTGAGTTCCCATCTCCCACCATCACCAACCCAGTGCTAAAGTACTAAATGTTCTTTTCCTCTGCGTATGCAAGAAATGCAGTGGAAATGATTAAGAATGCAGCAAAGACTGAAGAAAAGCTATGAGGAAAATTCTTTCTATTAATATCTGATTGTAAATAAAAGGGAGTTTTCAGTTGGAGGAATATGTTTATGAACTACTGTAAAGAAACCATCACATAATTCTTCAAAAATGAAAGTGTAATTTCTGTTTTAGAAAAAACAACGACCACCTGACAATTTTTTTTCTTTTTTTTTTTTTTTTTTTTGAGACGGATTCTCTTCTGAATTTACAGGTAACTGGTCCCTTGCTGCTCTCTAGTGGTAGTTGAACTTTCCACAGAAGACTTCGGGTCATCATATACTTAGCTGCAAATGTCAGGAGGGTGTGAAGGACTGCTTTATGAGAGTCTGTGGCTGGAAGATTAATGAGATATGAAGGAACAGAAGTAAATTCCAAGAAAGTAGAGTAGCCTTTTGTCAGATAGGAGCTGCTGCAGAAACATAAGCTGTTAAAATGTAAAAAATGGGAAAAGTACAACTGAGCCGAGGTATAATATGGATATAGTAGGATTTATGTTGTAAAAGGGCCACATAATCTCAGTACTGGGAGTCTTTGGCCATCATTTGTATGGAAGGAGATAAATTCTGTCAGAAATACACACAAAAAAAACCCAAACCAAACCAAGCACCAACTCCCCCAGCACTAACAAAAAGAGGACAGAGCTGGATGCTTAAGAATTTGAACTCCAGTAAAGTATTCAATTAGCATTAGGATTTTTGTCGAGATGTGATTAGAAAGGAAGCATTAAACTTCCACTTCAGTTATTACACTTAGAAATCACTGAAAATAACACCTGCTTTCTAGTTGTTGGGGTTTTTTTCTTCCTCTAGTTCCTATAATTTTGGTCTCATAAAAAGTAAAGAAGAGAAAATTAGGCCATCTGTGTATATATCAAGATTTGAAGTGGATAAATAAGTGTCTCATGCTTTTTATATATCAGTAAGATGTGAAAAGAGAAGATTTATTTTGCAATTACTGTCAGGTATTGTTCTTACTTTTCATCCATCACACTAGCTTAGAAGAGTGATGAAGTTCCTAACTTTTTTTTCCCCATGCTTGGTCACTGTCAACACAGTGACTTGCTTCTAAGAATCAGGGATTTATCTGATCCATTTTTAAACATCACAGCAATGTTTTGCATCATAATAATACAACAGAGGTGTTAAAAATAAACAACACTTCTTGTATGTGTTGTTTCTCTGTTGAGAGTACTTTTCATGAAATGAACAACTGGAAGTTTTGTTTTGGATAGCATCTCTTCTCTTCAGAAGAGCTTCTGAAGTGCCTGAAGTTCTTTCTGTGAAATTAATTCTCTTGATATACACAAACAGATTATAAAATCGATGACAAGGTTCCAATATATAAAGACAAAATGTTTGGTAAATATGTTGGCCAAACCTGTCCCAATAGCTTCCCAGGTTTCAGTGGCAGAGACATTGAAAGGAAATGTCATGTAATTAGCAGGATTTGTATTCTTTATTGAGACAGAGAACATCATCACACTTACCTAGTAAGAGGTGTACTGTTTCCTCTTCCATGTCCTAAATTTGCTTAGCTCCTTAAAGACTACCTGGGAACTCCCATTTCTGTTTTCTCTCACCCTGAACTTTGTAGCAGGCAGTGGTTTATTTTCTTGCCTTTACCTTTCTGAAGATTCTTCCATCCAAGTCTCCTGATCTTTCAGGGTTACTTGAAATAACCCTCAGCTGTTTTCCAGCCTGAAGGATATTCCAGGAGCTGACAGCTGAAAAAAGTGAGCCAGTTTATAAATGTGGCTGAGAGATGGTGATGGTGTTTCAGGGTATCCAGTAATGAATCTGACATTCCCAGAGGTAGAAACTCTTCTACTCATCTAATATTGTATCAGCAAGTATTGCAGCTGAAACTCTGAAACTGTAGAATAACTCGTGGTGTCCTGAGAGTAAAGCCAAGAGCTGTTATGCAGGATGGGAAGTACTCCTGAATTCAACCTCAAAGTTGCAGTGTTCCCTTAATGTCCCTTTTCACTACTCTTTAAGTCCTTCTTCTCATTGGTTGCTCTGGCTTTGAGGAAGGAATTGCATTCACAAAAAAATGCCCCAAACCAGGGTGGATTGCTTTGCTTATTGTTGGTCCACATAAAGAAGCTATTAATTAGACTTTCATTTGGGAACTTTTGGGGTTTTTTACAGCTTTAAATGACATCCCACATAGCCCTCCACCACTTCCAGCTGAAAAGCCTATTGGGAACACGTCCAGTATCACAGTGGGAAAACCCAACAGTGGTGACCTAGTGAAAAAAGGGGTAAGTTAGAACTGTTGTCATGTATTACAGCTTTGTCTGTTTTGGTTAACAGATCTCTTGTGACTCTAAAGCATGTGTAAAGTAAGTTGTTTGGAGGACCTAAACATAAAAAGGACTACTCAAAAAATATAAGGCTTTTTTTCTTTTAATTATGTCCTCTAATTTAATTAGGTAATTTAGACTGATGTCAGTTCTGAAAAGTGCTCGGATGATTTTAGTAAACTTTGATCACATCTGTCTTCAATTTTCTGTATTTATCACCTGGAATCAGGATATTCTACAACTTAGTTTCAAATGCACTGCAAAGTGGTTCAAAGTCTACTGGAATTTATGGTGAAATGTCATCAAAGTTCTTTAGAAATGTATTTTTTTACCTGCATACGCAGAATATCTCTCAGTGTCTGTGTTAGTTTTAAGGCAGAGGAAACTTTTATGTAGAAGAATGAAGCTTGCTTTTTTCAGCTCTTTCCTTCTAGTTGTTTCTACTGAGTAGAATCACCTATTTTGCAAAGTAAGACTCTGCTCCTCACATCCTGAGCACATACGTAGTAATGGTAGAGATTGTAGCTGTGTATCCTATATACACTTTGACACAGATTTACAAAACAGAATTAAAATATACTAGAAAATGACAGTAAAATTTCCAAATGTTGAGTTTTGTGATGGCTAGAATGGCATAGAATCTTGTGGAAACCACAGGCAGTAAAAAGATCAAATCAAAAGCCCTCACTAGATGGAGAGCTGCCAAGAAATGCCTTTGTAGCTACTTCTGCTATTAAGATAAAGGGTTTTTAAATGTCATGATTGAAAAGGCTGTTCATAGAGGTTCCATCTTTTCTGCATAATCCTGAAAAATTAATTTCCAATACAAGACACTAAATAACATTTTAAGCAATGCAACTCCAAAACTTTTACAATGTCATCCAGGTTTTTGTGACAGGCATGTATAAGCTTCAGAAGATATTTGAAGGAAAAGATTGCATTGAATCCACTGAAATATTTAAATCTTATCTTTGGAAAGATGAGAGCTGTGCTAACATCATTTATCAGTGGAGTGATTAAACAGCAACAGTAAAAATTGTTGACCATAAGCAGCAGTTGGCACAAATTTCTTCCTTTTCACACAGAAGAGGAAAATTTTTGATATGAGAATGACATCCTCATCTGGAAGTGGCAGATTGTTTTCTTTCTAGTCCGGATCATTTAATCAGGACATTAATTTGGGGACTCAATCAAGTGGCAAATTTTGTCACAAAATACCTGGTCTAGTGGGTGATGTCCCTGCCCATGGCAAGGGGGAGTTGGGACTAGATGATCTCTAAGGTCCCTTCCAATCTTTTCATGCTTTTCTAGGTGGGAAAAATCACTGAAGTTGTTCATGAGTTTCAAGCACATGTATCCCTAATTAAGTAAACAAGACTGTTCAGACCTATTTAAAATTACTGGTTCAGAAAGGATACTTTTGAACCCAGATTCAGCACTGATTTACCATGCTGCTCCAGAAGCAGCTGTGCTTGTTCAGGGGAGCTGGCAGAACTTTCTGGCACTGGGATGAGAACGAACAGCAGGAGGCAGTAAGGATGGTCACTTGTTAATCCATCCCTGTGATCCAAGCCCTTCAGACATGGCACATGTCCCCTCTCCTGACTGCTGTAGGGTAGTAATCTCTGGCAGGGCCAGCGTGGGCAGCTGGGAGGAGTGATGCTTTAATCTGCCAAAGCAAGATTCACTGGTGTTTATCTGTTAGATCTCTGGGAAGCATATTTAGATGCCTTCTCTAATGGGAGCTGGTGTTATTTGCAAGAGACACTGTCCTGTGTGAGTTGCATTAATGTCATGTTTCCTGCTTTAAGCCTGTTCTGAGTGTTTCAAGTGTCAAAGATAAACTTGATAATGTGAAATCCTGTATGAGTGTAACTGTACATTTGTGTGACTCTCCTGAATTTGGCTCTTAAGGCCTTTACTGCCATGTAGTAGGAAGAGGGCTGGGTCATTCCTAATGCACAATTTAAGCTGTGTTTCAGGTAGTCAGCCAGGTTATTTACATCTCCCTCTATGTCAAACAACACTTTAAAATGCTAGAACACACCATAATACTTATTTCTTTATTCCCAGACATCCAGAAACTCTTGGGGTTTGTGTCTGTAGGATATAATTTAGTATGAGAAAGGTATCCTTAAAATAAGATCTTTTTTTTTCCCTTAGGCTTAAAGAAATGTCTTATTTCTTTTAAATCATTATAGGCATTGGATCTTTCAGAACAGAGTGGAGTGCCTCAGATAGAACCTGTGCTACCCCCCAGGTAGGTGCAGTTCTTCAGAGACTCACTTAAAAGTGGTGGTTCTGAATTGATTTGCCTAGGTGGTGTCACTGCAGACACTGCCAACTCTAGTCATAACTCAATAGTCTTGGCTTGACTAATAGCTGGGCAGGACCAAGTTGCTAGCTGATTAGTACTTGTTTGTACATCATTGGTATGAGCAGGGAGATTACAGGAGGACAGCTGTTTTGACTTTTCAGCTGATGTACTGTGGCTGCTGACAGTCATTCCTTTCTGCATCTTTAACCTTTTCACCCACAGCACTTGCACTTGTGGCTGGTCTTGAGTGGTGAAGGAGTGAAGGTAGCAGATGCTGCCACCCTGAAAAGGGCAGATGCTGGGCCAGCAGCTTCCCAGAAGCACTGGCTGGTTTACACAAGTTCACTTCAGACCTAAAACTCCTGTGAACATGCAGGATCAGTGATAACCTTGGGATTTTTTTATTCTTTTGAACCAACAGGAAAGAAGCTCTGCAGATGCAAAAGTTGCTGGACCAGCCTTCAATTCAGGTCCACTCAATGCCAGAGACACTGTGGCAATACTGAATTATACAACTGTGTATATTTGTCAACTGTGTACCAATACACTGTGGCAGGACAGTACACTGTGTACCAATACACTGTGGCAGGACTCAGTAGACCACTGTGGCTATCTCAGCATTCGCATTCTAAATCTGTGGGGTTAAACACAAGAGTTTACTCTGTTGAGTCAGGACAAGAGAATCTTTCTGTTATTAAACTCAGTCTATCAATGATAAGAACTATTCATTAACAAGAAACATCTCATTATTGCCCCTTACAGGCTTGTTGCTTCTCCATGTTTAGTTTAGCATAACAGCATTCCTGATTCCTATGAAGGTCTCTGGAACTGCAGTAAACATTTTGTCCTTTCACTTTTCTTTTCAAATGGATTTTTAATTTATTTTTTTTTTTTAGTAACCAGTAATAATTCTCTGAATTGCTTGTTAGGGTCTTCTTCAACTAGTTGAGCTGCCTTACAAACATATGGGTTGGTCTGTTTAGAGATTTAATGCAGTCTAACTTGGAATTTCCCCTTTTGTCAATATTAAAAATGTGTAGTTTAGGATGAGGCCAAGAAAGGGGAGCAGTGGAACTTGAACAGAAGTGAAAATATTATTTTTTTACATTTTAAAATTAATCCATACTCAAATTGTAATAGAGAACTCTTATGCTGAGCATTAGTAGAGCACTAATATCTTCTCAGGTGGTGGATGACACTCACAAAATGTGTTAGAATGATACTTCAGATACCCACTAATGCAGTTTTGTTGGGGTTGATAATTTTTGCAGACCCTTCAGGAATGCACCTGAGCAAATAATTATACTGAATTACATTATACGAAAAAAAAGAGAAAGAGTTGTAGCAGAAACTTGCAGTAACTGGCTGCAGATTTCCCAATAGCAATCAAACAATACTGTATTTTTGGAATAGTGGTAGTGCCAGGGTTCTTAATAACAGAAGGCCTAAATTTTATTGTCATAGTTCTTGTTTATAACAGAGGTGATTTTTAATTAGCAAATTATTGATTCATCCACACACTCTTTGATTCTAAAAATCGTAAGTCATGTGCTGTATAAGCAGCTTTTTTCATCAATGCTTAGCAAGGGGGATTTTTTAGATTTTTAAAGAAAAATATTACTAACTGTCACTTGCTGGTCTCTGATTTTGGTTTCTAAACTACTGGTACACTAATAAGTGTTGTACCTCCAGCACTGCCAGAAGACTTGAGTATTTTCACCAGTGTTTTCTTTCTGCAGTAGACATCTGTTGCATAAAAAATGGTAAATTCTGCTATTGATGGCATTGTGCAAAGTGGTGTCACATGTCATGAGTTTCAGCAGAAGCTCAAAAGTCACTTCAGGTAAGTGACATCCCAGGGCATGTTCTAGGCTGATTCCTGTATTCGAGCTTTTGTGAAAGCTCTCCAAGAGCAGAACTCCATCCTGCAGCAGCCTCAGACAAAACTGTCTAAAGGTGGATTGCTGAAAGAAATCCTGCTTATGGAGTGGGTTCCCAAGGAAGTTGGCAGGCTGTTGATAAGCAAAAGTGGTGAGCAGACTTCAAAATATGTAGTCAAAGGATCTGTCTAAGGGCTTGATCATCCCATCTCAGTAGCTGAAGAGTTCATGTATTCTCAGCAAGCTTCAGATACTTGGTACATCTTGAATCATGTTTCCTTGCTGCATACTCTCTAGCTAGGGCTGTGGTGGGGGACAAGGTGGCAGGCGTATTAATATGCATATTTCTCTGATGGTTTGCACAATTTTTAGGCCTGTGGATGGAAAGATTATACCTGCTCGACCTCCTCCACCTAAAGGTGTTCCTGGAAGGCCACCTCCACCAAAACTCTCTGCAGCCAAGACCTCCTCCCAGAAGGATGTTCTTTCACGATCTATTTCTGACATTGCTTCTGATAAAAAAGCCAGCAAGTTCAAATTGGGACCCAAGAGAGCAAAAAGTGCAGTCTTTAAAAATCCAGACCCAGCATTACCTCCTAGACCTAAACCAGGTCATCCTCTCTACAATAAATACATGGTGAGAGTTGAGATATTCTTTCTGAAACTGTTGAATTTATAAAACAGTGCTGGTTAAAATAGTAGTGAAAAAGGTAGTAAAGTAGGTTACTATGATGTGGCTTTCAAAGTGCATTGATCAGCATAATCTTTCTTAGAAAATAGTAATAAGTTCTGTAAGGTAATACTGGAGAAGGCAATATATACATGCAAAGTATAGATATATGTGCTGTATTTTTGTGTATATATGTAATTTATATTATATATATCTTTAATACATATCTTTTTGGTTTGGGGGGTTTTTTTACAGTCACAAATTCTGAATTCTTCTGCAGCACAAAAAATTATGCTAAATAATTGTATTTGTATATTGGTTTTACCCATATATGTCAAAAAGCTTAAGAAAATTGGGGGAGCACTAGAAATTAAAAAGTAGTTGACCTTGTTTCATCAAGCCTGCAAAGAGTGAGGGATGTAACATTGCTTATCTTACATTTTCATCCTAGTGATGCCATTGCTTTTCATTACAAAAATGTCTCTTTTTGGTATTGCATCTGTTATTTGGGGATGTTAAATACCAATGGATAAACATTACAGGTGAAATGGAGAAAGTGTTTCCCCAGGTACTTGAAACTGGTCAGTGATCAGAGCTGGTGACTGCTTGAATTTAGTGCTTCAATGTTCTGCATGAAGTGAAAACTTTCTGTTGCCTTTTTTTTAATCTTTTACTCT